TTAGCACATTTGCTGTAGCAAACTGGATCTTCCATGGCTCCCTTTCAATAATAGCTCTCTTTTTGCCTCTTTCAAAAAAGTCTAGCCTGCCAGCAGATTCTCCCACCTGAGCTGTGGATCTGAATAATAACATCAAATGTTATAATATGAAAGCTTAAAAAGGTTTAAGGGAAGTTCAACTTTTGCATCTGGAGTATGTGTGTGTGTTTTGTTTTTTTCTCCATCCATTTCTTTTTAATTTGCATGAAGGTTTTCCATCTGTGCTGAGGGCCAAAGCTGCTTGCTGGGTGTATAATCACTTACCTTTAACTGTTGGCACTCTTTAGGTATTGGGTTGAAAGGGTTACAGTCCAAGGTCAAAGGTTACAAAACGTTTTCCTAAAGGAGAACTGAGTCAAAACATAGAGTAGAGAAAAACAGACGGACTCTTGTCTCCCACTGCAGGGCATCGAAGGAGGAGGGAGAGGGGGGTTATCCACAGCACTGTGAGAGCAGTACAATACAATCTTTGAGTAAAAGTCAGATTACCACTGCTAGAGGACACAGCAGTATCATAGTCTACCTCTAAGGTTCCTTTGTGGGGTCCCTGGTCAACCTCTCCAGTCTGAGCTGCAATACGCTTCTACTGCTCAAAAGATCCAACAAATAAATATTAGGCAGTTCTCTGAAATATGTTAATGTTACCAGACGTCAACAGCTGAGGGTTTTTAAATTGTTTAGTTACAGAAAAGCTCTTGATGATTTGAGAGCAGAGACTTAAAGGCCAGCTGCAGTTAAAAAGGGGACGGCAAGTGCTGCCTGAAATGAATACTAAAAGCAGCTGGGTTTTATCTTCACTGACCCTGTGACATGTGCTGGGAAGAGAAAACAGGCAACTTGGGAATTTGTGCTGAAACCTTAATGAAACATTCGTAATCCGACGATTTGTCGCTTAAATGCTCAAAATTGAGTTTCTCTGTAGATCTTTATTGCGTATTTTTGCTTCCGTGTCTGTTAATCCACAGTGAAACTATTTCAACTTATGAACAGCAGCAGACACAAAGACATAAAGATAAAGCAGAGCATTAACCTCATTTAAATGCTGCATTAGATAAGAATGTCAAATGACTTCACCTTTAGTGGGAGGTTCAGGGAGTGTCAGCAACATTCAGGCGCACAATGGATTTGGAAAGTAATGCAGTAAGGTGTGGATTTCCTGTCTAGGTATATCATCTTCATGCCTGAGCTCTTCAGACACATCTAGCTGGATATATTTAGATTCCCTGGTGGGTGTATCCATGCTGCAAGGCAGACCACAATTATTCACAACACTGAAAGACAGCCAGAGCTGGTCCGCGATCAGTCAAGAGAAGCCTGCATGTGTGTCAACCGGTGTGGAGCAGGATTTACACCACAGGGGTCATAGGTTGAGTTGTTGCTGGCCGCTTGGAGAAATCCATAAATGGTAACTTCAGTTCTTAAGTAAAAAAATATATATATATCATATCCAACTTAAAGTAGTTAGCAAACTTCAACTAATTGCATAAGCAACAACTATGGACTTATGGTTTAAAACAAATAGAAACTACTACAAGTGTACAGATAACATTATTTTGATAAGATACAAACTGTCTTAAAAATAAAACTATGACAAAAAAAGATGTACTTAAGTGTTGGTTGATTGATTGATTCATTGACTTAAATGATCTCACAGTGGAGAAATGTAATTGTCATATTGCATGCGCTGGGTATTAAATAAAACAAACAGGTTATTGCACAGTATATTAAAATTGTGATTGCAAATTACTTATTGCACATGTTATTGCAGTTATAGTTCTGCATTGTAAAGTCTGGTGGCAGCAGGGATGAATGATCTGTGGTAGTGCTTCTTTCCAGTGTTCTGGGCAGATTTGACTATGGAGAGAATTATCAAAGGCATATTCATGTGTTAATTATCTATCTTAGTCTAATGCATTGCTTATGCTGTACTATTCAGCATTGAACTATGTAAAGTAAACCCTTTGTGACTTATTTGTGCAATGCTGCCAAAATCATACCAGTCCAATAAAAAATATTCAGCAATGTTATTAACATTTATTGTTGTTTAACAGAACTTTAACAGATAGCTTGTGTTTTTTTTTTTTTTTTTGCCTTATAAAATTAATCTAAACGCATTGCAATCTAGCTAGAATCAAATTTGAATGCATACATTTGAAATTAATTATTCCTCTCTATCTGGATTCTATGACACTGACCAAGTAATATTAAGTACTTATGTCTTACTAAATAAATCGAGACAATATTTTGGTATTAATTGATTATTGAATAACAGAGTTTCATAAGCATATGCAGCCTTTTACCAATTTACAGTAAGCAAAACTAATAACTTTATACAATATTGCCTACATATAAGCATTATTGGCCCAGTAACCTAATTTCATTCTTGTATAGTTATAGTATTATTCAGTTGCCTATTGGAAATGATTATACTGTTAGCTTGTAATAATTTTTGGTTTCCTTTTACCCTTCTAATGGGTTATCAGGTCTATTGATTAATATTTTTTATAAATGGAAAATCTGTGCATTAATCCAGACTGTATAACATAAAAGTGACAAAACAGCCCCATCTAGTGGCTGAAATTTAGCAAACACAATCCATTGAAGGTGGGTTTTTTTTCCTGCACTCATCTTTCTTTTTGTGGATGTAGGACTAGTTTACTATAAAATCCAGCTCTGAATACATTGCAGTCTTCTTGTACACATTCAGGGCATTGTATTTGATTTGAGGAAACTGCGAGAAAAGCAGACATTAATCCACTCATTTGGTTGAAACATCACTATGTAAACACACTATATTATAAATCTTCCCAACACATAATAAAGCTTTTCTTTCAAAGACCCTCCCCACCTGAGGGTTGCATGAACACAGATACTGGCTTCTCTGTGATAGCGTGGCCTCAGGGGATGATCATGTTCAAACTGTACTGACATAAGGTTTTAGAAAAACTGATCTGGATTGATATGAACATTTCCTACATCTCATCTATGTACCTATTCTGAGGAAAATAAGGAATTCACTAATCTTATTAACTGTTTGCAATAAAAGCGAATTACTACAGGTGGAAGGTACAAAACATTAAAGCAAGCAAACACAAAAAGTTGTGTATTAAACATTATAAAAAATGAACACAATCATATTTTTACACAGCAATCTAAACATCAGTAATATTCATTTAAGAATTTGATTAAATGAGGTTGTCAGTTATCACAATATTTTTGGGATAATTGTTTAAAATGACATAATCTTCATCAGTTTTTTTGCAGTCTTCTTAGGTAATTGTATGACTGTTACTGCATACCAAAGCAAACATAGCCCCATAATCACAAGTACGGCTCTTGAAGCCTTTTAACACCATTTATCCTAATTTATACTCTAAAATTCTAGATTTGTGCTGCTTAAGGTGGCTGCATGTTGGTGTAGATCTGCTAGCTTGACTCTGATATTTCTGATATTCATTTTTAAGAGAACTTGAATCTTTCCATTTTTGGATTAGTGTTATGTTTCCTGATATTTTTCACCTCTGTTTATTAATGCTGTGAAACTGGAAGGATTTTTCACTTTTTTGTCCTTTTTGGATACTTGTTTTGATGCATAACCACAGCAACCATAGCAAGTTGATTTTTACACCCGGGAGAAGCTCTTTAACATCTCTAAAGCTGAAGTAATACTTCAACTTTCTGTGAAAGTAGCAGCTGTGTTAAAAAGGAGCCACTGGGGTAATTTATCATGGCAATAAGATAAATGCCCACCGCTAGTTAATAGAGGGGTTGGTCGATTTTATAATTTTATGGTGGATACAGAGAGGCACATAGATATCACATTGATTTATATGATTGACATCTATACAGTAATCATTCCATTAAAGATAGAGAAAAATCAGCTGCAAGTAAAATAAATTGCATTTGAAAAAGTAATGATAAATAAAAAATATTCAGCAATGTTATTAACATTTA